CCCCCCGGGAAGAGGCCGGCGCGGCGCTCCTCACTGAGCTAGGCAGGGCCTCCCCGGAAGGGATAGGGCGCCGCGCTGGGGGGGCGAGGCCAATGTTGGGGGGGGGTGACCCCGCGCCCCAGCACCGCCCCTGTGGTGGGGGCCACGCGGCTGCGTGCGGCCCGCCCGGGCCCTGGGTCGCTGCCACAGGCAGGGAGCGGGCTGCAAGCAGAGCCCGCATCGGCTCTATGGTGGAGGCAACGGGGTGGGACTAGCGCAGCTCAGCCCTGCCTCCTCCACAGCCGTCCACCAAGAGCTGCGCGGGCATCTGTTGCCATCTACGCAGATCCGGTGGGTCCCGCGTCCCCGCCCCCGCTGCCTGAGGCGGGGCTGGGGGTGGGGTCAGCACAGCGTAGGGGCGGGATCCAGACCCCCGCCCCCCAGCTGTGTCCCTCACCCCGCTTATATGAGGTAAGCACGTAGCGCTGGGCGGCTCTTAGCCCAGTAGGTTGGTTGGTGCTGGTTTCTGCAAACAAGCGTTTAAGATTGTGTATTTATTTTGCCTTGTTAAATTATTTCAGACTTCTCTCAGGTTACTTTGTACCATTCGGTTTATTTTGCTCTGTTAAACTGGTTCATATTCAGCTTTTGTGCTCTCCACACATTAATCGGCTTATTTTGCTCTGTTAAATCGTTTTGTACTCAGTTTTTTTCACTCTCTTAAACCAGTTTACACTTTTCAGGTTTTTACTTCATTAAAGCAGTGTGTATTCAGTTTATTTTGATATCTCTACTTTGCCATTCCTTTTTGCATTCCTGGATTTAAAAACTTAATATTGCTCACTTTTTTGTGCGTTTTTTCTGCTCTTTGATTGCCTTCTTGGAAACAGTTACCCAGATTTACACACACTTCAGATAATTCAATTCTTTTTAGTTGTCTGCTTTCTATTTGCCTGTTTACATTGTTTGCCTTGCCTTGGTTTTGCGTCAGCTTCAGGAAATTTTACAGTTAAAAGGCATCTAGATATATAACCCTGGATAGTAAAAAACCAAAGTTGGATATTCAAAAGTTTCAGCCAGCATACAGAGAATTGTATAGTTTTGTGCAGCCAGGAGATCATGTTGGCTGTCTGTGCAGCAAGAGTATGGTATCTTGTACTTCCAGCGTCCAGCGCCATTTTGCAGCCAAGCACGAAGCCAAATTTTCTGGAGCTGGTGAAGCAGACAAACATGAATCCATTTGAAAAGCTGTTGATCCATTCCAAAAAACAGCCAGCCAGCGTTTCTACTTTTGTAACTAGAAATACTTTTTCCACCCAGGCAAGTTACATTGTATTTGTAGTATAGCTTGGAAAGACAAGTGTTTTACAGATGGAGAATACTTAAAGGATGC